GACTCTGAGCAGAGATGATAGCAACAGGCAGATGATTAACAGCTAATAATATTAGTGTTGTAATTAGAACCGCCTTGAACTCTTAACCCATCTGCCTCTGTGATTTCTGGGTCCATACAGTGAACAACAAGATGATTCTTTCCTTTTTTTCCTCCCCTTTATTGATTTACCTGGCTGTTCAGAATATATTCTTTTTCAAATAAATATTAATAACTGCTATCACTTATTATTCACCTATTGTATGACAGCTGCTCTGTAGTTACTGAGAGTACAAGGAAGAATATAGCTATGGACTCAGCCCTTAAGGAATTAAATACAATTTATTGTCGCAAAGGTCTTATCTGGTAGAATTACTACCCTTACCTTTACAAATGTGGAAACTGAGTCTGAGGAGGGTGAAGTGACTTGTTGAAAGCCACTCAGCTTGTAAGTAGCCAAGCACAGATTCAAAATTTATTCTGTTTGACTCCAGTTGACGTTTTTTCTAGCATGCCACAGTGCTCTACAAATGGCCATTATTGCTGTTACCTTGGTAATTCACCCACCCTGGTCAACTGTCTTCGACTCAGCTCACAGTCTTTTCAGGAGTGGAGGAAAAGGGAAAGGAAGAATGTGATCAAACAAGAGGTCAAGTACTCTCTACCTGGCTGTTTGGGAAATCACCATCATCATTACAGTGTTCTGCATCTGGAGCCCCAATAAGAGCAGCAAACTGGCAGATCTCAGTGATGGAGAAAAATCAAGCAGGTAGTTCTTAGTTATCCATACTAGGACACAAATGGCATCAAGAAAGTCTAGACTCTTAGCTGGGGTTCAAGAGAAGAGCTAAGAGATTCTAAGTCCCAAGGAGGAGGTTGGCAGGGAACTGGAGATAATCAGTCTTTGGTGGACACTAATAGACAACAATATTGCTGAAGGTGTTGCTGATATATTATGGTAGCATTTCCTCAGGGGACTCAAAATATACATGTCCAACCTCATCACAGCCAACTCTCCCTGAGGAAATATATTCATAACGAAGGACAAGTTAGGTATTCTTACCTGGGACTTTGGCTCCAAATCTCAGTGCAGAACTCTCCTGAGATGAACTGAACTGAAGTGTGAGTTCTTTTATCCCAAGCTTGTGAGGCTCAAGTTTTCTAGAAAGAAAGCCCTCCTCTGATTCCTTTAGTGCCCTGAGCTTGGCTTCTAGAAAAAGCTGCCCACAGTGTCCCTGTTAGACCCAGAGGGAAAGGAGCAAAGAAGTCCTCACAAGGAAGGGTAGTAACTCTAGTGCTAGGACACACCTTTCTCTCCCACTTCTGCTCCATGATCAGTCATTCCTTCCCACCAAGCCTCCAAGGGAGGGAAATACACAAAGTCTGACCCATCAGAAGTAAAACAGAATCTTATTCTTAACTGCAGTTTTGGTCCCAAACCCTGGAAACCAGATTGTGAATCTGGTAAAGAGTAAATGAGATAATATAAGAAGCTTCTGCCATCAAACCTTGGCTTCCTTTAAATGGGGCCTAGAATCTCTTCTTTGGGTCCTATAATCTCTTCTCTCTTCTCTTGAACCACAGCCAAGAGTCCAGATCTTCCCAATGCCATGTGCTTGTTGATCTAGACATCTGAGAACTATCTGCTCAGTCTTATCATCACTGAACTCTGCTTGTGAACTGAGGGGTTTTTGTTTTTATTTTTATTTTAGTTTGGTTTTCTGCCAGGTCATCTCCCAAGCCTGCCTGTGTCTCTCTACAACAATCTGACACTATCTCTTCTTTACATATCTAATTCTCTTTATCCCTCAGCTGACATTACCTTCTTCTGGAAGCTTTTATCCTCCTATCCCTACTCTGCCTCCAGGCTGGGTCAGGTTCCTCCTCTCTGCTTCTACTCCCCCTTGGCTTCTGCCTCTCACAGTACTTACCACTCCATATTATTTTTGAGTTTATGTGAATGTTTTTCCCCAAGAAACAAAATCCTTGATGGCAGAGAATGTGTATGATTCACTTTGTTTCCCCGGTTTCTAACCCAAGATCTGGCACAGAGCAGGGAGTGTTTGATGAATGAATAAATTGGGAAATGATGAATTTGTCTGGTCCAGTGTAGTATTACCCAGGAGGGAGGAAATAAAAAGGAATGTCTGATCCAGAGTCCTTATTGTAAATTAAGATGAACCTCCTAACCTACCTCTTACTTCTGTTCATTAGAGCCTATAGCCACCAAAATTGCTATTCATTCTAAAATCACACCCAACCTCTTCCCCCATGGTATCATGTACATTCCCATCCCTGACTCCACTTTGTAGCTTCCTCTGGGCAACTCTTAGCCTTGGGAAACCCCTCTTCTGTCCTAACTTATCCCTTTGAAACATCTCTCCATTTTAATGCCCTCAAAAGCAATTCCTCTCCTACAAGGTCCCAGCAACACAAGAGGACCCACACTTATTTTCTGACTGAGCTTCAGATAGTAGCCTCTCACCACTTTCCTTGGCCATGCTACCCTCACTTCCTGACAGACTTTCCTCAGTTTACCTTCCTGCCTGAGCTTCCAGATCATCTCCCATATATTAGCCTTTGCTGAAGGCTCCTTGTCTTTCATTTCAGACCTTCTTGGCATCTGTTCTCAGGTGTCAGAGATAGCCATGCCCTGGACACTGCTGAGTCAACTCTGCTAGTAGAAGTCTCTAACATCAGGTCCCACCCACTCCCCAGCTGCCTCATCTGACACAGCATAATGTGCCCTTCTAAATGAGCCTCCAAATGGCATTGTAATGAAGAAGGCTGAACCTCAGCCAGAGACCAAAGTGGTCAGGACAGGACAGAACCAAGAAGACACTTAGTAAGAACCAGGGATCCCAGAACAGAAACCAGAGTAAAGGGGGATTTAAACAACATAGAGGAAAATTTGGATCAAATTTTCAAGATCAGGAAGTACCAGTCCAAGTTGTCTGTTGACTTTGAAAAAAAGCTAGAAAGGTACAGTGAGGATCAGATCTCATAGACCCTAAGTGCCAGACCAGAACATTTTAATTTGGTACAGTTAGAAATAGGAAGCCATTATAGATGCTTGAACAAAGCTGCCCAGGAACATGAAGAAGGCACAGACTGGAATGTTGGAGACTTGAGTCTGAGGTTCTCGCTTTGTCACTAGAGGGCTGGTGGCTATAGATACTTCTAGATGCCTCTCTTCCCCAATCTGTCACAGAAAAATTATGTGTCAGTGTCAAGTGGTCTTAGAAGCCCCTCTAAGCTCTTAGACTCCATAGCACAGACAGTTTTGACCTGAATAACTTGAGCTTTCCTCCATCTACCCACCATCTCTATCCCCCATTGCCTATCCCCAGTCTGCTGATAATCAGGGCTCCAGAGGGTTACCTCTTGTGTCCCATCTGTTGGAACACAGCCATAGAGAGAGGCATGCTCCTGCCACATGTGCTCTTGTTTATTCTTGATGCTTTACAGAGAGCTGAGGAAAAGGGGGAGGGAAGGAGAGGGCCTCCTTGAAGGATCAGTTTCAAGTATTATTGTCCCAGTCCATATGTAGGGACTGGGCCCAAGCACAGCAGACAGTCAGCCTGTGGGAAAACTTGGACCTTTTGCCAACTAGAATCCTCCAAAGGTCAAATTAAAGACTTGGAATTTGAAAGAGAAACAAATAAAATGAACTGAGTAAGCAGATCTCAACTGGTTGCCTTAGATGGGTGAACATGGCAAGGCCATATCTAAGCCATTTGTGTTGGTTAGTATAGGTTGAGCTAAGTCGTTGGGAGATAAACTGTAAAATTTCAATAGCTCATCATAGTAAAGTTCATTTATTTGTTGACACTAACAACCTGAAATTTGGGATAAAATAAAAATGGTTTCCATTTACTGAGTACCTATTATGTGCCCAGGACTATTCAAGATGCTTTATGTAAATTACGCCCTTTTTACACATGAAAAAATTGAAACTTAGAGAGGTGAATGACTAAGTTCAGATAACTAACAAATGGCAGATCTGGGTACTGAAACCCATGACTATCTAGCTGCATGGCCTGTGCTCCTTCCCTTACTCCACCTGCCTCCCCAGTGGCCCTCTCCCTTACCCATATTATTCAGACACATCTTCCAAGGGAGAGGATGAGGAAAGGAAATTATTGGGCAAATGACCTAAGAATGTCTTTTCATAGAAATGATCTCCATTGTTCTTTCAGCTTGGCCACTGTCAACAGTGCAGCTTAACTGCACTGCACAGCCCTCTATTGTGTATTTGTCTCCCTAGATCATAAGGATCTTAAGGCCTTAGGACCCAAGGGCTATGTGTCCCCAGCTGCTAGCACCAATCCTGGCAGAGTGCCCAGAGAATGTTTGTTCATTGATTAAATGAATGAGTGAGTGAACTCATTCAGTTTTTGACAATTTTGAGGAGTCTTCAGATGAATGGTTGAAATCAGCTCATAAATCCTTAAGGAAAAAGTCTGTGCCCTATTGCTTCTTATATTTCCTGCATTTAACATAATAATAGGCATAGATTAGCTCTTACCACCACCCTCAATCACTGAAAAGTGGGCCCTATTCCTCATGCACTGAGAATGAAGTTGGAGAAATAGGGAGGAAGTGAATTTGGGGGATATTGCAAGGTTACAACAAGAGGATCTTATTAGCCATCTTATTAGCCATCAAGATGTTAGAAGTAAGGGAAGAAATACATAAAAGAAATATAAGCATACCTATCTTCAGAGATGACCTCAGACCCCTAGGAACTATTTGGGTTATGAGTAAAGAGTGTGTAATGATGTGTCCCCAGACCACCTCAGCCTGTGGGCACAAATGGGGTCCCATTTATGGTATTCACCTGTGATTTGCTGGCTTACGCCCCTACCTGCCAATGCAGGACTCCAGGCTCCTTCAAAGTCTTGCTTAGTTATTTCTGGAAGTCTCAAAGTGACATCACATATAACTCACAAAGGATGCATTCCACTTTACATGCCATCTACCGTGTTGCTTTTTTCCTGCTCAGCCCCGCCCATGAGGTTCCCTACTTCCTACTTCCTGTAATTGAGAGTGCTCCACCCTAGTCAGTCCCAACACCCACCAGGAGAAATCTGATGACCAACCAAAGGTATTTCCTGCTTATATCAAGCTTCCGGGACAAGAAATACTATAGCAACTGAAACTGCAGGCTTTTCAGTCCAAAAATTGGGAAAATGTTCTTTTCCCCCTCTCTACATTCCTAGCTCTGTGGCCCTTTTAGAAACAGCTTCTACCTGCAACCCTTTCTTCCTGGGACTCAGTCACAGGTCCACCAGTCATATACCCCACTGTCACCCTCCTCCTTCCCTAAAGCAGGGCTAGCACATGTCCCCTTTGTGCTGATGTAGGCCTCCAAGGATCTTCCTTGATCAGACCTCTGCAAGAGCTGGCCCCAACCATCCTTCACAATAGACTGAAGCTGGGACCCTCACTGTTAAAGGATGAATAAAATGACCTCTCTTACTCTTTCTGAAATGTATTCTCCAAATACTAGTCTGGATTTTTTTTTCCAGATCCTTTGTTAAACACTTCACAGGTTCCAAAAATTATGAAAAGAGCTTTCTGTGCAGTGCTTCATTTAGTCCTTACCTCAGCCCTGGGACCTAAGAATTATTACCCCTTTCTACAGGTCCAGGGAGGGAAAGTGCCTAACCCAGGCCAGCCAGCTCTGGCACACTCACTCTCCTCTATCGTGACTCACTGACCATGGCCTTCCCCTCCTCCCAGGAACCTATATTGTCTTGTTTCTTGCCTTTGCTGATTGCCATCCACACCATTCATTCTCCTTGTTCTTCTGCTTCACCCATCAGATTTGACATTCAGCACATTATTTCCAGCTGTGCTGTCAACCACTCTGGACAAGAATCTGATTTCCTCTGCTACCCTGGCCCACATACAGGCTTAGGCCTTCTTTCCCTGGGACTCTCCAACTCTGGCCCTGCCTCCTGAGTGACATTTGCATCTGGCTTCCCATGGCCTTGAAAGTTAAATCTGTCAGCCCTTTCATGTGGTGTGTGACCTTCAGGAGTATCTTAACATCTCCAGGCCTCAGTTTAGTTGATTGCAGATCAGGGGTAATAATACCTGTTTTGGAGGTTTACTGTGGGAAATAAATATGACAAAATATTTAGGGTACCCAGTATGCTGACTGACACATAGTGGATGTAAAGTAAACAAAGTACTCAAAAAGAGCTGATGTTTACTAAACACTTATCACATACTCTGTTAAGTGCTTTGTTGAGTTTATCTTATCTAATCCTCCCCTCAACCTTTTGCAGCAGGTACAGTTATCATTGCATTTTACAGATGTGTAAACTGATACCAAAACAGGTTAAAGGACTTACCCCAGGTCTCAGACCTTGAAAGTAGCAGGTCTCAGATGGAAGCAGACCCCCATATTTAATAACTCACTGTCTTGTACTGCTTGGCACAAAGCACACCCTCTACAAATGGGGTTGTTGAGCTGTTCTTATTAAATCAATAGCTAAATGAATGCATTTTCCTTCTTTTTGTGCCATTGCCTGAGACACCCATTCTCTGCCCTAAGACTTGTCCGCTCATTTTCTTAATCTCCTCAGGGGAGACTAAGATGTTGCAATTTCCTGTGCCCCCAGAAATGCACCATATTGCGGTCTTCCCTGGATAGGACAAAGCCCAGTCCTGACCAGCCCAGTCTCTGGCTGAGTTCCTTGGCCAAGAACAGCACAGAGAGAGATCCTTTCACAACTGAGGCTTGCCAGCAGAGCACTCCTGCTAAGCCAGGGCCTCTTGCCAAGCAACTTTCCCTGCCCCTCTGATATGCAGATGTGTGCAAGAATTCTACACATCTGCATAGGGCGCATCCAAAAGCTGTGACTTGGCAGAAAAGAAGGAAAATCTGAGTGTCAACTCCAGAGGAATGGCTGCTCCAGAGGGGCCAGGCAGGGGAGAACAGCAGATCAGGGCTGGGAACAGTCAGCTCAGGGTAGACGAAGGATAGAGAAATAGCACTATCCACCCCAACTTCCACCTCTCACAGAAAGGCTGGTGCACTTTCAGAAGCATGGATACCATGAGCTTATCCAAGAGATTCTCCCTACAGATGTCCACATCTTTTGAGGATTATACTCTATTTAATTTGTATCACGTTAGCCTCTTATAAGTAAGGAAAGAGAAACACGGCAGCAGAGACAGTGGTAAGAACCCCGGAATAGGATTAAGACACCTTTCCACACAACATTCCTGCAATCAACATGTATGAAGCACCGATGCCTTGCCAGGCCCAGGGAGACAAAGGCGAATCAGACACAGTCAGCATCCTCAAGAAGGTACCACTGTCCAAGAAGACAGACCGGCAGGGAACTGGACAATATAGAGGAAAGTGCAGAAAGCTTCATGGGGGTGCAGGGTTGGTTAAGGTTAAGAGGGCATGTCGGGGACTGCTGCCCAGAAGAGGTGATGACTGAGTGAATCTTGAAGACATGTGACAATTGCCCAAGTGAGCAACTTATTCTGTACTGACCCTACCAGGGCACAGCTGAGTAGATGAGTAGGTGCTCACTGTGTAAGCACTTGTACTTCACACATCTGCATACACACACCTTCTGAGGTGGGTGCCATGCTGGTTGCAAACAGTTTCTGGGTAACACTCATGCTGTAATCCAAGATCTTCTTTCCCCAGTGGTGTTTTCTTTCTTTCTTTTTTTATGTTTATTTTTGAGAGAGAGAGAGAGAGAGAGAGAGAGAGAGAGAGAGAGAGAACAAGCAGGGGAAGGGTGGAGAACAAGCAGAGGGAGACATAGAATCCAAAGCAGGCTCCAGGCTCTGAGCTGTCAGCACAGAGCCCAATGTGGGACTCGAACTCACAAATTGTGTGATCATAACCTGAGCCGAAGTCAGATGCTTAACCAACTGAGCCACCCTGGCACCCCAATGTTTTCTGTTTCCTGAAAATCCTTGGCAAAAGATTCCTCAAAATCAGCTACTTTTCCCTGTTACTTTAAAAGCTTCATTCTCTCTTACTCAATGGCGCGGGAAGCCAGACAAAAAGGAATTCACCAGGACATCTTGAGCTCACCTTTGCTCTTGGCGTCCTTAGGCTCATCCCTATAGAGTCTTGTGCTGGGGACAAAGGAAGAGTAGTTTTCTAGTTGGAGGGAGTAGGGATTCAGTTCAGGAAGAGGCTGACTTGGTGAAAGGAATAGTGTCATTGCCTTCAATCTCTGCAAGAATATCTGAGGGCAGAACAAGGATCGATGTAGGAACACCAGAAGTAGGCAGATTTCTCAACTAGAGAGACTATTTCCCCAAGTCAAAGGTGCCCATGGGTGGGATTAGATGCTTTGAGAAGTAGTGAGCTCTCTGTCCCTGCTGGAGCATGAGGGGACCAGATCACAGCTTATTGGGTGGGGAGGATGTTGTAGCAGAGCCTCAAACAAACACCAGGTGAAAGGTCACACCTTTTTGCCTTGCTCTACTGTATTCACATGGGAATTGACAGCACAGGAGGGTTGCTGAAGGCTCTAAGAGTACAGGGATTTGCATTTCCAAGGTTATGAAGAAAGACATGTAGTAAGTATGTGTATAGGCATCCAAGATGTGAAATGTGTGATTATTTGCAGAACCGAATCTCATACCTCCCTATCCTTGTTGAACTGAATATTGCAAAAATATCCTCATTCGTATTTGGAATGGTATGTTTCGAAGCAATCATCATTCTGAATACTCATTCCAGCCAGGAGACGACCTGAATATTGAATAGAATAAAAATGTATATATTAGATTACTTATTCAAATGCCTATCTGGCAGTTTGGATAGAATTAAGCAACAGTCCAATCTGGCTGTTGTTTTATGCATGGGATGTCAAAGCTAAACAGCCCTTGGAGAATATTCTCTCATTCTTTCCCTGCACACAGCCTCACCATTCTGCCTTGTTCACAGATGGGGAAATAGGCTGAGAGAGAGGGACATATAGCTTGGAAATGAGAGACCTGGGACCAGTGGCTACCATTTAGTGACCAGACGAGGTAATATTGTCCCCATTGGATGAAGGAGGCAACTGAGGCTTAGTGTGGTTCATGGACCTATACTGTGTCACACAGCAAGTCAGTGGTGGCAGAGCAGCCTGCATCCTTTTACATTACCTCACCGGGTCCTGAATATAGCCAGAGAGAGCGCTCGTTGTCCTCTCAGGCAACCTGCAGACTCTCTGCCAGGCTATGAAGTCTTGGAAAGTGATGATGTTATCCCTGGTTGGGGAAATTCCACTGAGTGTTTGGAAATACATTTTAGGGCCCCCAAACCAGGGAGTCTACCACACCACTGTTCTACCCTTCATGTCCTAAAAGCTCTGTGTGACACCAGGCAAGAATGTATTGTTCTGCAATTACAGTCACAATCACAAAAAGCAATAACCCAAATTCACCTTTGGAAATGAATCCAAGTAATCTTTTTGAAGGAATATGCTCACTCTGAATCTTGCTCAGGTATCACCTCTGAGAAGATTTCCCTAGCTTTCCATACCCTAGATCCCAGAGCACTTTTCACACAGTATTGTCACTGTATGTGAGGTTTTCTCCCCACTAAATCATGAGTACTTTATAGCGAAGAACACCTGTGATTGTTTTCTGCATTTCCAGTGTGGGGCCTGCCTGGGGCCCCACAGGTGTCTGGGAAGGTTTGCTGAGCAAATGGATGGATATTTGGGCAGTATTTCTGCAGGGAAAGAAGTTAAGAGAAAGGGACTCTCCTCCCCTCCCCAACCAACCTAGAGTTCATTAATCTGTGGATAACAAAGAGGACCTGGCAAGCCCTGCAACCTAATGTAGTACTTCCAACCCCACTAACAGTGACTGAAACCAAGAACCAAACCTCAGAGCTTCCTGGGATTCGCCAGTGTTGGGGAAGAAAAGAGCAGCATCTGAAGCACATGTTTCCACTCACACTTGAATCTCACTTCATCTCACCAGACCATTCTGAAATTGCAGTTTCAGCATTTTCTCCAGTCTCACCCCTGCTACCCTGCCCCCTCCAGGTCCTCAGAGCTCCAGCCTCTCCAGGAAGCCTTCCCTGGTCAGGTTGGCAACTGTGATGTCTCCACACCAGCCCCTCTTTCTCATCTCAGCACTCTTCCTTTCCTGCTTATCTGATGCTCATTGTCAGTTCATGGATGGTCAGTGTGGGGAGAGGCAGTGTGGCCAATGCACAGAGCATTATGGGCTCAGAAGACAGGTACAAATCTCAGCTGGCCCAATGAATAACTATAGGTTCTTGGGATGTTCACTCAAACACTCCAAGGCAAGAAATGGGGGCAAAATTTTCTTCGCATGACTGTTGGGAAGTATGCAGGGACCCTGAGAATGGAGGACCTTGACTGCAAAGCTAAGGACAGTGCTTATTCTATGGACAATGGGGCACCATGACAGGGTTTCTTGTCTGCAAATCACATGATCAAATATGCCTTTTACAGCGAATATTCTGGCAATGGCACAAAGAATGGATTGGAGAAGTGGTCCCAGAGAAGAGAAACCAGACAGGAGACCTTATAGGGATGGTCAGAGGTTGAGGGAAGTAAGGAGCAGAGAGGAGTGTGGAGTTGTAGATGATAACAGCCTGAACAAAGGAGGTAATAAGAAATAATAAGAAGAGCTAATGTTTATATGCTCCAACTCTGTGCCAGGAATTATGCTAGCACTTTAAAAAAATTTTTTTAACATTTATTTATTTTTGAGACAGAGACAGAGCATGAATGGGGGAGGGTCAGAGAGAGAAGGAGCACAGAATCTGAAACAGGCTCCAGGCTCTGAGCTGTCAGCACAGAGCCCAACGCGGGGCTCGAACTCACGGACCGCGAGATCATGACCTGAGCCAAAGTCGGACGCTCAACTGACTGAGCCACCCAGGCGCCCCAATGCTAGCACTTTATAAGGATTATTTCATTGAATCTTTTTAGCAGCCTAAGATTTTTAATCCCCATTTTACAGGTGAGGAAACAGACATTGAAAGATTAAGTAAATTAGGATGGCATAGTAAATAAGAACTGGGATTCAAGTCCAGACAGT